CTTGAATTGTTGTTTCGTTTTCAGATTCTTAGCTTTGCAGTTGGCTCACAATATGGTGTTTAACTTCCGTTAACTGAAAACAAGGCAACTACACATTCACAATCAATGCACTTAGCTCAGTACACTTAAGCCCATGAACTTGAAGCATGCAGTTGAAACCTGTGCCATGTAAGGAAAATCGATTGTATCCACCTTGGCCAAGATTTTGGTTTTGCAAGCAATTTAGAATTTTTGCAGAATGCTCTAAATTTACCATCATAATAACCATTCCATCTGTTTGCTTTTTGTAGCCATTACAGGTGTATTTTTCGAGCCATCTTGTTTATCACTGCAATACATTGCTTTGCTATAAAAACCCTGTTCTGATCTATCGCCAAAATTACCTTTGATATGAGCCATGCTACAAATACTGACTACACTACGTAGGTCAAGTGATAGGAATTGCCTTTATTTTTCTCAGAATAATCTGTAAGCTTTTTTTTTTTTTTACTTATTCACACACTAAAAGTGTTGCATTGCTCCACAGACAGTTCTTAAGTTTTAAGTTTTTAAGTCAAAAGCTTAGAGAAGTTGATCATTTTCTTGTTAATGCAGCTTCCAGCAGTTATCAACAAACGTCACCCAAGAAACCGTCATCATTCTTTGACTCCATGTCGGAGATCGCTTCCTGCAGTTACGAAGCGAGAGCTGTTGGTGTACGTAACGGAATGTTCCTGGGCGCGGCTCGTAAACTCTGCCCTGATATCTATTGTGTACCTTACCAGTTTGAGCAATATCGTCAAGTGTCGCAAAGGCTCTATGATATTTTGGTGACGTATAGTCACGAGATCGAGGCTGTGAGTTGTGACGAAGCGTATATTGACGTGTCGGAGACACTGGAAGGTATCTACATTATATGTTATGTATTTTACTCTGGTTTTTCACGCTTGGTGCGCGAACACGGTGCCCAAGTACGATTCTCGCTGGCCACTAATGTGAACGCACCTTTTTTCCGAGTACTCACACCAGAATTCGGGAACAGTGCCCGTGCCCTGGTACAGGGTCTCGACTTTGTACTCGGGTACTAAATGGTGCTTGAGTGCTCGGATTACCTGTGTCTGAAGGCAACACTATTTTGTGCCGGTGCCCAGGAACCAGTGCTTGGTTGAGCACTGGTTCCAGTGTGAACACAGGAACCAGTGTGAACGCAGCCATTGTTTCCAAATTGAATGCGTTTGATCTATGCAATACTACAAGAGAAACTAAAGTACAAGTAGATCTCCCTCCAGAACTAACTGGATTAAACACGTCTTACTAACCGAGTTCGAGGTCCGTACTGTAAGCTATGGATCGATTTTTTTCCGTTTCGATTTATAGCTCAAGCGCGAAGCGCGCCGACCATAAATAGAAGGGAAGAAAAACGAGGATCTTACTTGCGCCTTATTTATTGTCAGAGAATGAAACACCAACAGAGCTTGCGGAGAAGATTCGCGCGGAGATCAAGGACGCCACTCGCTGTACGGCATCAGTGGGTATCTCTTTTAATATCCTGCTGTCCAGAATGTGTACCAGAGTGGCTAAACCTGATGGCTGTTATTACTTATCACCTACTGACAATATTAACCTGTTCATGGGTGAGTTGCTTTATAGAAATCCCGCGTTTTAATCTTGTTCGATGCTCACAAAAAGTGAGAAAGCGCTTAAATGACATTTCATTCGGTGGAATTCGACCTGAAGTGTAACTTTTGGATGCGTACAGACGGGAATTTTGATTGGCTTTACGCAAGTAAATAAAATAGTGAAACTGTTGCGTCGGTGGAAATGCTCGTTAAAACGCATCATTTGCTCTATTCTATGCGCGAAATAAAAAGAACAACGTGGTAAAAACGAAAGTGTCTTGACAAACCACTCTTTTATTGATTCTAAGATTTGTTTTAAAAGTCGTTCAAAAACAAGCCACCTCTTTCTTCGTCGCTCGTTGTTTCCCAGGTTCCCAGAAGGTTAAAGACCTGCCAGGGGTGGGGTGGAGCTTGGAAAAGAAGCTGCAGACCTTGGGAGTAGAAACATGTTCAGAGTTACAGAAGTTCAACTCTCAAGCGTTACAGCGCGAGTTTGGACCCAAGACTGGACTTCTGTTATATCAGTATTGCCGGGGTATTGACGACAGAAGTCTTAGAACTGAGCGAGAAAGGAAATCTGTGTCAGCTGAGATAAATTATGGAATCCGCTTCACGAAGGTGAGATGGGTATTGTTTCCTGAGAACAAGCTTGACAAAGTTCACGAAATGTGAGAGCAATTTTCTGAGGCACTTTTAAAGTAATTGTTTGTAGCTACGCTCGTGCTTTATAAAGCTCCCGCTACCAAAAGGAATAAGAGGGTTTTTTTGGGACAATCAGAAGGAAAATGTTAGCCAATTCCTTGCTAGCGGTGACATGTTATCAGGGGACTTAAAGGAGCTGAGTCATGGTATTTTGAGATATTTTGTACACGCACAAAATAACCTTTAAATTGAAGGAAACCTGAAAATAATAGTTTACTAAGAAAGAAAACACCAGAGAGAACATAATAAAACATAAAGGAACAAGATGGTTAAGCATGGAGAATATTTAAACGGAGTACAAACGACGAACTTGAACAATTCAGGCTAAAATTCTCGAGATGCGCAAACTGTGATGTAGCTCCTTTAAGATTTGGGCGTTAGCACCGATCGAGAGTAAGGCTCCACTTTATCACGTCACCTACCCATCTCATCCCATAAGCTACCCTGTCTACCTAAAACCAACATGAAGGGCGAGGGCTCTGGAAACGTCACTGCTTTGAACTCGTGGGCTTCGATATTTAGCCTTGGTCAATCGTTTCCAGTCACGGATATGTCACCGAAGTTAACTGACCTTTAAGGCCTGGGGGAAAGCCGTACAGGAACTAGGCAAAGTCCAATCTAAAGGTCCCTGTTGTTGTACCTTTTTTGTTACCCTACTGGTAAACTTAGGGTTAATTTTAGTTTTTGCAGTTCATCTTCACTTCAGCGATCAAGAATGCGCTCCATAACAGTAACCTGTTGCTGTTCTGTTGCAGGAAAGCGAAGCGGTATCGTTCATCAATGAACTAGCGGAGGAAGTACAAAAAAGACTTCAGTCACTCGACATGAAGGGAAGGTGCATTACTCTCAAGGTATGTTAACCTGCTCGATATCATTTTGTGTCTAAGTTGGTTTGTTAAACATGCATAAGTCTTGAGACATAAAAATGGAAACAAAGATAGGCATGGTTCGTAATCTTAAAAAAATGGCTGACTACAATCTTGGACGGAATAAAGGAAAAATGAATTTCCCTCACCCTCCGGATTTTGGTTTGCATGGACCAGGGGATCCAACCCCCAGATCCATGCAAACCCAAACGCACCATTTTTTCCATCATTGAAACGGGTTGAGCGGTGGCTTTAATTTTTCATTTCAATTGTCTAAGATTGTAGCATAAAAAATGTATTTGTACAGAGGTTGCTGCAAGAGAATATGACCATAATCTCTTTGGTCACAGATAATCCTTTTTATGTTGTTCAATTTGTTTTATTTTTTTTTCTGGTAAGTTATCCTCATTTGCTGTCGTTTCATTTAGATGAAGGTACGGAAACCAGGAACGCCAACTCCACGAAAGTTCATGGGTCATGGAATCTGCGACAATGTAGCTCGCTCCTGTACTTTACCGACTGTCACGGACGAGGCACAAGTCATTGCCAAACAATGTCACGCACTCCTAAAGCAACTGAGTGTTACGCCAGAGGATGTGCGGGGTATGGGAATTCAAGTCAGCAAGTTAACTGTCAAGAACGCCAGTGCTTCCGCTAGGAACTCAAGGTCACTGTTTGATTTTATGAAACCGCAAACGAGTGGCAATGAAAGTGTTAATGTACCCGCTGCTTTGCCTAGCGAAGTTGAAAACGCTGAAGGAAATCGTGATCGGTCAGTACCAGAGAGTCGTCAACACGAACAAAACAAACTTCCACCGTTACCAAGGTTCTCGCCGCAGAAAGCTCAGCAAAATCGGCATTCTGAGTCGGAGAAGAGACTGGGTGACCTGGGAGAAAATCTGTACTTACCCTCCCCGTCTCAGATTGATCCCGCAGTATTTGAAGCTTTACCTGAAGAGATTCGCAATAGCATCGAGAAATCATATGCCGCGAGAAATCAGAGAATTTCACTCAACAGAATGGCAAAACAACAGGTTGGTCTTGAGATTTACATAGGCTTTATTGCAATTTACTGAAAATAAGAAACTTATGATTGAAATCTCTTTCAGTTTGAGAATTGCTATGACGTGTGCTCAGCCAATTCAATATCAGTCGCCGCTTGCTTGTACTTTTCTCTAATTGAAGAATTCAACGAGAAATGCACGCAAACACGAAAATTGCGAAAATTGCTAAATTTTGTAAA